CAGGTTTAATCACAAAGAGACTGATTGATTTCTGTTTTCTCTGTTACTTACTTTACTTCATTTACAATAAATCAGATCCCTGACAAGCTGGGGATGAAGGGGCCATGTAAATGTGAGTCATTGTCAGTGAGAGGTGCAGAAAGCAAAGAGGGGAATCATGATATAGGCACACTACAGGCCCTCAGCTATGCAAATACAAGAACTCAACGCTGTTCGAAGAAACTCCACACCTATTTGCTGTGTGGAGGTTAGAAGGCAGCAGAGCTGGCAGGTAGGTTTGCTTAGAGACAAGGATGGTCGCACCGTCCCCTCTGGGTAGAAACAGCTGCTCAGGATCAGAAGCTAAACTCTCCTCTGCGGTGATGCTTACAAAACACTGGACAGTGGCTGGGGAGCTGGGGGGGTGAGGCCACTGTCCCTTTTGCTGCCCAGAATCGTCCGCCTGTGCTCCCCCGTCTGTCTGCTGGTTCCCTCCTGTTGTCTCTGGTCGCAGACTGAAGACTCTTTGGGGCCAGACGCAATGGGGTCCTGGTCCATGTCTGGGCTTCTAGGCGCTATCACAATACAGGTAGCTAATGATAATTATAAGAAGCAGCAGCAGCATGTGCCATGGTGTGAACTCTTCTGGGGGCCCAGAATCATTTGGAACACGAATGCCATTGTTACACAGGTGGGGAAAGTGACTCACTTCAGACAGTGTGTCCAGGGAAGGGAAAGGATCACACATTTTCTCTACATCTCCAGTCTCCTGCTCTGTTGCTGCCAGCAGTGGATCTCCCCTTGTACCGTGGAGTTTCAATCTGTTGAATGAAGTCACGTATGTCCTCTGCCTCAGCGGTTTGGGAGCTCTGCTGGAATTCTCCTGCCACCTCTTCCAATCGTTTTTTCAGTTGTAGCCTCTCCGGATAGTCGTCTGGAATGGCGAAACCTGCTTTGTACATCTCAGCTGCCTCCCGCAGTGACTTCTGCTTGTAGAAGAGGAAATCCCCCCAGTGACGGTAGACGGCCTGCTGACACTTCTTGCTGAGGCTGGGCATTTCACTCCTGAGATTGAGATAAATCTCTTCTTGGTAGTGAGGTGTATTTTCTCCATACACTTCAGCTAAAGCCAGCTTTGAAAATACAGAGACTGGATCTTTTTGCACAGCCTCTTTGAAGGCCTCAATAGCTGCTGCCAATATTTCTCCTCTGCCTGACTTGGCCTCCTTCAGTTGTATCTTGTAGCAATAACCAAGGTCATAGTGAAGGAGATGATAATTGGGGTTCAGAGATATTGCTCGCTCTAGAATAGAGATTGTTTTTTCTATGAATTCTGGTTGAAAGAACATGGCTGCATTTCTCAGGACCTCAGGGTCCAGGCTATTCTGGACAACATCTTCTAAGAGGGCTTCTGCTTGCTCTCTATCGTCCCTCTTAAGGATCTTGGCTAAATAAACCTTAGCTTCATAGTTTTGCTGCTGTTCACGGATAATGGCGCCCAACTTCTTTTTGGCTGCTTCCCAAAATACAGGCTTGTGTGTGTGAGTCCATGATGCAAAGACCGCAATTGCCAAGCCAGCAAGAAACTCCCCATTTGCTTTGTCTTCTCTCAATGCCATTTGGAAACACTCTGTG